GCAAGGTCGGAATGGTTCAGTAAGTACATTATTTGGTTTTGTCGTGTCTTCCTTAATTTCACCAAGCTATTGTAGCCTTTAAATCTCTTGAAGATTTTCTGACAAAAGGGTTTTCTAGTCTTGTGGGAATAGAACTTTATGGGAATAGAACCTCGCAAAGCAGTTAGCTATTTCGTTAGGTAAGCAATTTGCTGTTTAAGCGTATTGGTTCTTTTTTGTGGGCAATTTGATTTTAAGCATATTGATTCTTTCTTGGGTCTTACAATTTGCTGTTTAAGCGTATTGGTTCTTTCTTGGGTCTCCCATTGTTTTGGGGGTTCTTTCTTGGGTCTTTCTCTGTTGTTTTGCAGGTCTCCAAGACATCGTGGGTCTTTCTCTGTTGTTTTGGAGGTTACCCAGGAATTGGTGCGTTGGCCATCACTTTGGTAGAGATGAACTTGTCGAAGGAAGTTCGTTTAGCTTGTAAGATTGTATCACTTTGATACTTGATATTTGAGATGAACTTGTCGAACGCTTTGATAGTTGATATTCGAGATGAACTTGTCGAAGTAAGTTTCATAGTTGATATTTGAGATGAAGTTGTCGAAGGAAGTCCGTAATAGCTGATATTTGAAATGAACTTGTTGAAGGAAGTCCGGTTTAGTTGATATTTGAGATGAACTTGTCGAAGGACGTCCGTTTTGCTTCTAAGATGGCTTGCCTTAGGACAGCTGATTGTCGTCTCCAGGTTTGTACGCTCCGTTCTTCCAGTCAGATCAGCAGTGTTGCGAAGGGCGTTTGTTCTTCCAGTCTGATCAGCAGTGTTGCGAAGGGCGTCGCGCTTCCAGTCTGATCAGCAGTGTTGCAAAGAGCGTCCCTCCCAGTCTGATCAGCAGTGTTGCGAAGGGCGTCCCTCTTACACTGATCAGCAGTGTTGCGAAGGGCGTCCCGCTTTCTTTTAGCTTCCTCAAGGTGTTTGGACCAAAACACTCGATAGTGTTTATCAAGGTGTTTAGACCAAAACACTCGATAGTGTTTAGTCTTCCCATAGTTTTCTTTGCACATCTGATCATAATATTCGTGATATCAGTACACATCTGATCATAATATTCGTGATATCAGTGCAAAGTTTGTTAGGATGATGGTTGAAGTTGAGGGGACTTGTGTGGAGCTCATTGTCTAAAAGGTTTGTGA